AGAAAATTTTAATTTTTTTTTTAAAAACACGTGAATAGTGCATTGAAATAGTATTATTATTTTTAAATCATATCTTTGAATCAATGAATAGTGGCTTTTTCATGCACCTCCCTTTTTCATCATGCAGTCACTGTTCATCGTTCACATCATATTAAACAGTGCTTGCACGTTACGGATATATATATAATTTTGTTTACATGAAAGTAAAATCGCGCCCTGATACCATTTGTAACAAGCCAATTTCTTGAAAAGGGCTCAAGCGTTATCAAATCAGAAAATAATATATATCAAATACAAAAAAATTAAAAATAAAAAAAATGAATGATCATTCATTTATACAAAAAAAAAGTTGTCTTTCAAAATAAAATAGAAATAAACATTTATTCTTAAAAATGACTAATCATAAAAAAAAAAAAAAAAAAAGGATTCTTCCAAGAATATAAATTCCCTTTTATTTAAATAAGAACATTTCGCCACCACCGATCGATTACCAACTCCAAACTTTCGATATCTAATTACCTGGAAAGGGGGGAAACTTAAAGGGGTGAGTTTAAGAAAATCTCAATAAATGTGTGCATTAAACAAGTAATTTGCATTTAAATTAATAAAAACAGGATTTCATATCATACGTATAGGAGACACACGAATTACTATGAACATAGGCGGTAGCAATTCATGTGTACAGCGCTGCTAAATTCCGGCCCCCTTATCATAACATATATGGCCCATAAAACGAATTCCAAAATTTAAAGTACAAAATACAAATTCACATAAACTACATGCAACATCACTTACCTCATAATGAAATTTGATGAATAAGTGTGTGAAGAACTTGACTACCAAAAGTCCCCTTGAATTTTCTTGTGTGTAGGACAAATGACTTGTGTGTGTGAAAGGTGAGAGACGTGAGTTATGAGTGTGGAAATGATAAAATATTGTCAAGGATTAAAATGGAACCTTTCCCTTATTTTCTCCATAATTAGGTATCCACAATTATTACTTTCTTGTGTGTGAGGCAAATGGAGTGACTTGCGTGTGAAAGAAGAGTGATTGTCGTGAGATTGGGTGTGAAAATTAATAAAATATTGTCATGGATTGGAGAGTGGAATCTTTCCTAGTGTGGAAATGGAAATTTTCCTTATTTGTTCCATATTTAAGGTAATTGCCATTATTCCTACTATAATTTGGCATACTTGACATATATATATACATGCATGTAATTATGTTAATTACCTAAACATATTTTAGTCATACATGGTAATTATATAATCTACATAATTATTCCATAAACAAAAATTATTTTCTAATTAAACACGCCTTAACTATGAATAGCCCACAATTTGATCCATAAATTATGTAAACAAAATAATTTGGTCCTTCGATATTCAACTTTTTGCTAATAGGTCCTAATTTCTAATATTAATGACTATAATGAATTTTCGGGGTGTTAGAAGTGCACTCAAATTGGCAATAATATTGATAAATATCCTCACTTTTATTACACAATGGAATGAGTATTCCTAATCCAAAACTTGCAGCACCTGCAAAACCATCACACTCACATAGAGTACCACAACAAACCTATTATTGAAAGTACTTGTATGAACAACGAAACTATATATAATTTCCCAAACGCTCAACCCTCAATGGCTCTTTACTTCTTATATATGATCATAAATATAGAGCTTTCCAAATGCTCCCCCCCCCCCCCCCCAAAAAAAAAAAAAAAAAAAAAAAAAAAAAAAGAAAAAAAAAAAAATATACTAACAACCAATTAACTTTCATTGCAATCATATATAGAACAAATATCAATAAAATAGAATGGATAAATCGGCAAAAAAAAAAAATTAAGCAGTTTAAATTCAAAATGTATACAATATTGTTACCGGATTCATGATATCATTGTTGAAAAAACCTTATTGTTTAGAGCAAGATTGCAAGAGTAGAAATGGATTGGATTTTGGAGAAGTTACAAATTTAAGAGGAGGTCTAGGTTTTGATTAGTAGACTATTATTGGAGGCTCTGAATGTGATTAGTGAAATTAAAAAAAAATTGAAATAAAAATTCTACTTTTGGGCCTCCCTAAAGAATCGAGCTTGAGGCAACGGCCTCTTGGGCATCTCCTCACTTCCGACTATGTCTAAAGGTACTATTTTTCACACAATGATAGACTCAAGTACAATAATAGAAACTAACAATGTAAAAGGGATCTTCTTTATTACAACACGACACATTGCAACACTCTAATGGGAATCTATGAACAGTAGAATCACGAGGTTCTCAAATTTGTTTCTGGTGCTTCTCTTCGTTTTAGTTACATGGTAAAACATGACAATACGACCAAGGGTCAACTTCAACAACATAGGTTCCTATGAGTATTCAAAGGAATCTTCATCAATCTAACGATAATTTTGTGGTCATATATCCTTTCAAAATCGTATCTATTTTGTAGATCCTTCCACATTTGTTTTATACGAGCCATTCCTTGGGAGGTTTGTTCTGAATATTTGCATGTAATTCCACAGCTCAGTGTGGGTCTTTCAAGATAGATATGTCCTCAAGATTGTTGAAAATAATCATCATTATGCAAATTTGGGGAGATGACTGGTTTCCATATAAGCATCAATATCTTCTTGAATTCTTAAATCAAAGGGCAGTTGTTCCTATGGAGTATCATCCTTTATGTCTAGCCAAATTTGAGGACAGAATTTTGAGTTCACGCTTTTCAAAACATTCGAATCGGATAAAATGGGGCGAAAACGTGAAAATCTGCTAAACCACTTGAGAGCTGACGGTCAACTGGAAATGTCCATTGGTCCAAAATTTGATCATTCCGACTCTTTTGGCTAACGGCTATATTTTGATCATCCAAACTTGTGATGGTTGACCATTCTGACAGTATTGAGAGCTATTATGCAATCAAGATAATCAATTTATCTCTCAGTACCAATAGTTAATGTGAAACTACCTGTAGAAAAATATAAAAGCCGACACAGTTGCCGGCTTATTTGATACGAGAGCAACTCCATCCTTACTTCATCATGCAATCCTTCCTCCATAATGGGGGACTACAAGCATATTTTCTGGGCAACAAATAATGAGTATTTCTCTTCCGAATTAGTCAGCAATTCCATCAGAATCGAACTGTTTCCTGATCTTACCATTATTCATAAATTGATTGGTTCTTCTCTACCTCAAAAAAAAATGTTATCATTGAGTTTGACATCATCAAATAATTGTAGGTAAAAAGGATTATACCTCTTCATGATTGCCTCAAGTTTAAGTCATATGTCCTAACATACAACCCACAACCTATTTTTTTCTAGAAACTCTTATTGGAATAAATGAATGGCTTATTTAAGATTGTTGTTTAGAATCACACTCAAAATTTCTCTCCAAATTCATTAAACCTCTTCGAAAAAATTCAGTCTTTTTCATTTCTTTACATTTAAAAAAATGAACATATAAATCCAACTAAAACTACTCACGCTCATATGAATCCCATACATCTTTTGCTATCTATATACGAACGTACCCAACTTCAACAAGACGATTTCATTGAAGACACAAATTCTATCAAAAGCAAAATTATTTTCAAAATTTAACGTAAAGATAGAATTGTGGCAATTAAGAATTCTACCTAAAGGAAGGTGGAAAACTAAATTCCGTATCCTAAATCGTCATTATTAGTGGACAGTAATGCCATTCAAACTAAAAATAACCCCATCTTTGTTCCAAAAAGCAATGACCAAAATTTTCGAACCTTCTATAAAAATGCTTCGAAGTTAGTTGATGAAATTGTATTGTTTTCCATCTTTTTTCATCTTCTGCAACAATTCTATGAAATTATTAAAAAACTTCAACATCATGTTGTCATAGAAGAAAATGGTCATTAGAGTACAAAAAGTTGATTCTCTTGGGAATGCATATAGAGTTGTACACTATGAAGAATGCTACATGTACACTAGAGTTGTACACTCTAGTGTACAGCCCCCTCACATGAGAGGGGGCCCACAAAATTTTTTAATCACTGAGCGTGTATTCTAGTGTACAAGAAGCATTAATGATGCATGTAAGAGATGGTCAATACACTCTTCAGACGCATGATGTAATGAGCTTCTAAAATTTTCAAATGAAGATTTGACAAGAAAAGAAGTTCAACAATTCCTTGGCATTGTAAACTATATGGCATGTTTTGTTCATAATTTTTCCTCCAATATCAAAACATTGCAAGAAATGTTAAAGAAAAATTCATAAGCATGGTCTTGTGGGAAAATCTACCCAATAAGGAAATCAAAGAATCATTGTATTAATGGTATACAATCCCATAATTTAGGAGATATGACAATCCCTTAATTAAAGGAGTATCACAATCCCTTAATTAAGGGGATTTAAGTTAGGATAGTTTCCTATTTTATTTGATCTCTGTAAGTATATAAATTCAGTGATTGTACAGCATTATTATTATGATTATGAAGAAGAATAATATTTCAGTTCTTCATATGTTTAAACACAGCTCTTTCTTGATCTTCCTAATAGCCATCGTAGAAAATCATAGACAACACTAACTCCTCTGAGACGCGGATTGTGTAAACAAAATCTACTTCATCTTTAGGGGAGTTACAGAATCTACAAGCAACATATAAATTGAATGGAAAGTGTAGGAATTCAAACTAGCTACATATGGGAATCTTCAGTTTACTATAATTATGGGTTCATATTTTTAGGGTTATTAATCTTCTGTATATAGCTGTAATTTACTTCCCTTAAATAATGTAAATTAGTTCCTAGAAATCAGGATCTTCTCCACAGATCTTTTTATATATATATACCTGTATTGTACCTAATGAATGAGAAGAGAAAATTACTCCCATTCTATTCTACTACATGGTATCAGAGCCAAGCTCTTAAAACCTAAATTTTTCATCTGTCTGGCCGCCGACCCTAACCTATTCTCAATTCATATTTCTCTGTCACCTCTGTGATAATCTCATCCACCATGGCCGAATCTGAACAAACTTCCAACAACTCTTCATCATTTCCCAATACTCCTATCAATTCTCAGGTCACTCAGACCACTCCCGAAAACAATATTACCCCTATAATCAACCACAAGCTCAATGGCCACAACTATCTCCAATGGTTGCAATCCATAATGATGTTTATCAATGGACGAAGCCGGGATGATTGTCTTACAGGGGTTGCTGCCCAACCAAGTTCAAGTGATCCCATATTCAGAGTTTGGAGGGCAGAAAACAACCTGGTCATGTCCTGGTTAATTGGCTCAATGACTACCGAGATAGGTGAGAACTTCCTTCTGTACACTACAGCCAAGGAAATATGGGATGCAGCCTGTGACACCTTCTCTAGTAGTGAGAATACTGCTGAACTCTTCCATGTAGAGAGTATCCTACATGATCTAAGGCAATGAGAAAACACAGTCACCACCTACTTCACCACTCTGACGCGACACTGGCAACAGTTGGACCTCTTTGAATCTCACGAATGGAAATGTCTTGATAACAGCACCTATTTCAAGAAAATAGTAGAGACTAAACTCATCTTCAAGTTTCTGATGGGTCTTGATAAGTCCCTTGATGAGGTGCGAGGTCGGATACTTGGAGCCAAGCCCCTACCAAGTCTTCGAGAAGTCTTTTTCGAGGTACGCCGAGAGGAGAGCAGAAAATGAGTCATGATGGGACATTCTAATACACCTGCATCCACTGATGGCTCAGCCTTTGCTGTAGCTAAAGATCACGTGTCCATGGTCGAACCTGCTGCTTGTGCCGCTCACGGGATGTTCCAGACTCCCGGTGAAAATCGACCACGAAGGGGACATCCTTGGTGCGACCACTGTAAGATGCCAGGCCACGAAAAAGTAACCTGCTGGAAGTTACATGGAAAGCCACTAGATTGGAAGCCAAACAGGGCTGCTGGCTATCGTGAGAGTCAGGTAAATGCAGTCTCTACAGAAGCAACTAAATCACAAATCCAAAACCCTTTCACGAAGGACCAGTTGGAGCTACTTCAGCACCTGATTAGCAAGGGAAATATGTCAGCCGGTCCATTAAAAATTGGGACAGGGGACAGATCTGTGCACAACAATGGAAACCAAGCACTTCATGTGAATCAGTCACCCTCAACATCTTGGATAGTGGATTCAGGCGCATCAGACCATATGACAGGTGATAGATCACTTTTCTCAACTTATACTCCATGTCAGGACTATCAAACAGTGAGTATTGCCAATGGTTCACGCTCAAGAGTTGTTGGAATAGGAACCATATATCTCTCACGCAATCTTATCCTTCACTCAGTGTTATTTGTTTCTGATCTTAATTGTAATCTAATCTCTGTAAGCAAAATAAACCGTGATCTTCACTGCGAGACTAAATTTTTTGGCAAATCTTATGTTTTTCAGGACTTGGGTTCGGAGAAGACGATTGGCAATGCTGAACTTTGTGCAGGCTTGTATCTCCTCAAAGTATACTCTTCTTCTATCCCAACTCAGAGTCATAATAAGACTAGTGTCAGACCCCAGTGTTGGTCAGTTCATGGTCATGAGTCAATAGGTCAGTCCAATAAAACAAGTGCAATCATGTTGTGGCACTACCGTTTAGGTCATCCAAATTTCTTGTAATTGAGTCGTTTGTTTCCTTCATTAATAAAGATGCAAAGTTATTTCAATGCGATGTCTGCCAATTATCAAAGCACACTCGAAGTACATATATCCCACATCCATACAAACCAACTCTCCCTTTTTCTCTTATTCATGGTGATATCTGGGGACCAACCAAAATCCCTAATATTTCTGAAGCAAGGTGGTTTCTATTGTTGGTTGATGATCATACCGATTAAGCTGGACCTTCCTCATGAAAGATAAATCTGAAACCAGCCAAATCTTTAAAACTTTTCATGCCATGATTCAAACTCAATTTCAAGCCAAAATTCAAGTCCTTAAAACTGATAATGCCCGAGATTTCTTCAACTCCATTCTCAGTCCGTATCTCCAATCTTATGGAATTGTCCATCAAAGCTCATACGTGGACACACCTCAACAAAATGGTGTGGTAGAACGCAAAAATCGTCATGTACTTGAAGTTGCTCGTTCATTACTGTTCCAGTCTAATGTACCTAAGAAATTCTGGGGCGAGGCTGTTCTTACCGCAACCTATCTCATTAATAGAATGCCCTCACGTGTGTTAAAATTTAAAACTCCAGTGCAATCCCTCCTTGACCTCTATCCAAACTCACACCTACTTTCCCAAATTCCCCGTAAAATTTTTGGATGCACTACCTTTATCCATATCCACCCTCATAGCTGAGGGAAACTTGATGAACGGGCACTCAAATGCATCTTCATTGGATACTCACCGAACAAAAAAGGATATAAATGTTTTTCTCCTCTCACCAAAAGGGTTTATCACACCATGGATATCACATTCTTTGAAGATAAACCATTTTTTCCCAATTCTATAATTCAGGGGGAGATAGACACATATGAATCACAAAATTGGGATTGGACTACTCTCATTGATCCAGTACCAAGTCCAACTCCACTCAATTCAATTCTTCGCTCACCTACCCCGGAGTCTCCATCACTTTCAAGCCCACAAACAGTAGCTGGCTCTCCAAACACATTTAAGTCACCCAATTCACCTCCCGATAAGTCAGAAATGTACCCAAAACATCTCCACCTTCCGAATGAGGCAATAAAAGTCTATAGTAGGAAAAACAACCTCAACTGCCTGTTCAAAATCAGCAAAACCAGGAGTCCAATCCGAACTCAGCAATTCCTGAAATAGCGCAAGGTAAGACTAAACCTAACACAGAATACAGTGTTGAAGAGGTTGCAAAATATGATCCAGACTTGGATCTACCTATTGCTCAGAGAAAGGGAATTCGCACATGTACACAGCATCCTATCCATAACTATATGACCTACTCCAAACTTTCCCAGAAATTCAGAGCATTTGTACTACTCTAGACAAAATCCAGATTCCAAGAACAGTTCATGATGCATTAAAAGTCCCAGAATGGAGAGCTACTACTCTGGAAGAATTTCATGCCCTTGAAAAGAACGGCACATGGACTCTAACAACTCTACCACCTGGAAAGCAAACAGTTGGGTGCAAGTGGATTTTCTCAGTAAAACAAAAGGCTAATGGTAGTGTTGAACGGTTCAAAGCTCGCTTGGTAGCCAAGGGCTACACTCAATCATATGGAATTGACTACCAGGAAATATTTGCTCCTGTAGCCAAACTCAATACAGTACGGGTTTTGTTATCTATTGCTGTGAACCAAGATTGGCCTTTATTTCAACTTGATGTGAAAAATGTATTTTTGAATGGGGACTTAGTCGAAGAAGTATATATGGATATGCCTCCTGGGTTCGAAACTAATTGTACACGAGGCAAAGTCTGTCAGCTTCGAAAATCACTGTACGGACTCAAACAATCACCCCGTGCATGGTATGACAAATTTACAAGGGTGCTAAAACAAGATGGATACTTGCAGTCTCAAGCTGATCATACTCTTTCATCAAACACTTCACAAACGGTAAGATTACTATGTTAATAGTGTACGTTGATGATATAGTTCTCACGGGAAACTATGAAGAGGAAATGAGGAGACTTAAGCTTCTCTTATCCAAAGAGTTTGAAATCAA